GCTTGTGAGGCAGACGACAGAACCACTGAGCTAAATCCCCAGCCCCCTTTTTTGGTGTTTCGAGACAGGATCCCACTGTATAGTTCAGGCTGGCCTCAAACTCATAGCAATCCTCCTGCCTCAGCCTCCCAAGTGCTAGGATTATAGGCGTGCACCACCATGCCGGCTCCTCAGCCTTGTAATCTTTATATATCTGCTTTCTTACTAAGATGGGGACTATCAGCATTTCTCTGTCCTTCGGATTTCCATAGAATGTGTGCGTCGCAGGGACCGTGTCCATGGAGACCGTGCCTTTAACTTTATGTGTTTCTGTGGTCTCTCCCCCCCATACTGGTGCAGAAACCTGCTGACGGTGGCCGCTCTGTAAACCCTAAATGCACACAAGAGGACTCCTTTGCCCAAACCCCTCTCCTTCTCGTCCTGAGAGCATGAGGCCAGGCACGCACTTTCCGCACCTGCTCTGTAGAGTAGGCCCATGGGGAGCGAATGCGGTCTCCACAGGTTGACGCGGTCTGCAGCCTTTTAGATCCAGATGATTGAAGTACATTTTTTAACACAAAAGTTTTTACAGTTAATGAAAAAACCTCAAGTTACAAAGCCATAAGAACTCTGTGGGCCTGTTGTTTTATGAAAGAAAAAATATGTAATACACAGCAGAAAAAAGCTCTTCAAACTGTTAACACTTCTAAAATTAACTCGCAGGTCAGGCTGTGAAGGTGTGGTATTTTGCTTTTATATCTCTGGGTCCTGTCGTATTAACCTGTCCTGTTTGGAAGTCACTTGCAAGTCAGTCTTGGGAACCACGCTTGCGGTTGGGCCAGGTGTGCTTGGCATGAGACTGGCGAAGTGATGATAAGTGCCGCATTCGTGCAGCTTGGGAGCTCACCTTTGATCGTGCTTGGAGCTGGAGGAGCAGCTCTCTGTCGCCTGCAGGAAGGAGACGCGTGAGGAGGAGCACACTGCACCCGCAGCAGCCAGGGGAGAAGTCGGCTCCCGCTGCTCGCTGCTCGCTGCTCGCTGCTCGCCTGAGCTCAGCCTCTGTCCCGCAGGCCGAGTGACGACCACTTCGTGCAGATCATGTGCATCCGGAAAGGGAAGAGAATGGTCGCCCGCATCCTCCCCTTCCTCTCCACAGAGCAGGCAGCTGACATTCTCCTGACGACTGCTAGGAACCTCCCTTTCCTTATCAAGAAGGACTCCCAAGATGAGGTGAGCACCATGTGGGACATCTTTCCTCAGACTTGGCTCCGTAACTGATGGGATTGCGAGGATGCAAACGACTTCCTCTCATCCCTCTGGTCTTGCACCATATGATTTGACCCCTAATCTCCCAGGACTGCTGTTCTGAGTTCTGTATCTACTTGAGTAGACCATGTCCCTCAACGTGCGCAGGTAACAGTTCCCCCCTGCCTGACACAGTTGTGGAGATGCAGTCTGCTAACAGAACCGCTTGGGAAACGAAGTAACGTGGCCCTTCCTCAGAACGCTGACTCAGAGTTGTGGCCGATGAATCAGGGCTTTTGTATTTCTAACAAGGTCTGCAGCTGAATTGGGTCCTTGTCTTGTCTCCTTCACGGGTACAAAGCGCTATTCAGGGGCCTTTGTCAGTGGGCCTGCAGCCCCAGTGGAAAGGTGTCCCACAGGGGTCAGGCCAGGGTTCAGTAATTGTGGAGTTTAAATTATCGACATTTAAAACATGACCATCATGAAGTTTACGAATCTCTCTGCTGATCCCTGACACATCTCTTGAAAAACTAGCAAATTTTATAGTACTTTTAGGAAGTTCAGAACAAGAAATTGATAAAGGTAGGGGAAAGGACAAATACCAAGCAAGAGATTCAGAATAATAAAATATATGTGAGCAAATCTGTTACTGTCCACTACAGCTGAGTAGTAACCATCTGGGTGATTAGTCCGAAGAAAAGCAGGATGCCAGGGTCCCTTAGAAGCGGGGAATGAAAGAGTTGGAAATTGCTCCTTCTGCGGGCCCTTGAAATTTTAGCAGAAAAGTAAGTAAGTTTAGGTCTCATCATAAGAAAATGAGAGGGGCCAGGAATTTAGCTCAGTGGTTCCGCTGCCTGCCTTGCAATCGCAAGGACCAGAGTTCGATCCCCGGTACCAAAAAAAAAGAAAATGAGAGTAGGATGAGACAAGTGTATTTTTAAAAGATTCCAAGAACAAAAAATAGGTCAAAGGAAAATTTAACAAGGTGAGGTTTATCCTGGAAAATAGAAGGCCAGATTGAAAACTCACAGCAACTCTAGAGCAGATCATGTGAATACATACTCCTTAGTCCCAGGCTCTCGTTCACGACTCCGAAATTGAGCACCTTGTTCTGGTGCAAAAAGCCAGGAACACAAAAATGCCTTCCTTTCTGGAGCTCACCTACAGCAAGCAAAACAAGGTTAAATATAGAGGCCGAGTTTCCACCCTTGTGCATTAAAGAAAGTAGAATGTATCTCTGAAAAGCATTTCTGGAAGGTATAGCTGGTTCCAGGTCTGAGGCCTGAAAGGTACAGAAAAACGCTGGAATATCTTATGTCAAAAGCAAGTGAAGTAGCTGCATGTGGTGCATACGCCCATCGTCCCAGCACTCAGGAGGCCGAGGCAGGAGGGTCATTGCAAGTTCAAGGCCAGCCTGAAAAAAAAGCAAGCCAGGAGTGCTGTTGCCTGCCTTGCAAGCGCAAGGTCCTGAGTTCAATTCCGGTACTGCAAAAAAAAAAAAAAGGCAAACAAATTAAGTAATAGATTATTAGGATCCTGGGGAGGCACCAGCAAAAGTTGGTTTAATCTGACCAGGGTCCTGCTAACCAAAAATGGGTAATTTGCATCAAGAAGAAAATTACAGTAGTGGCCTAAAATAAATGTATTCAATTTAATGAATTCATAATGATATTAAAAATACATTGATCACCTTTGAGATTGGTAAGCCATCTACTCATCCTGAAAACTGGTAAAGAATGTCAAGCATTTATCCCGCCTTTCCACTGTAAGCAGATGTCATGGTATTCAGCAGGTTGGTAATACAGACTTCTTGATAGAAGAAGTTCAGCTCATGGAAACAATAAAAATAGAAAATAACCATATTGTAAGCCTTAATGGAAAAATAATCTAGACAGCAGTCGTTACTGGCTACAAGAAGCATTGGGTAAGAAGTGGATGGGAAACTTTACTGTTAGCCAAGCACTTTGTGCGCTTCTTGACGGTGCTCGGGAAAGCACACAGCTCGGCCCTCCCCTCCACAGAACCTGAATCTGATCACACAGTGAATGGGAAAATAGCTGCAGACAGCAGCTAACAGATCCAGAGACCTGTTGAATGGAAGCCACAGAGCTGTAGCTGGCCAGATCCAAAGTAGGGACCAAATGACCCATAGTTTCTTAAGCAGATAAACAGGCAGGAGAAGAGGAGATGGCTAATGGCTGAAGACCTCTTAGGGTCTTGAAAGCCTTATCAGCCCAGTGCATCGGGTGGATCTTGTTTGAATCATAATTCAGACAAATCAACTGCTAAAAGATGTATTTGACACAGTTGGAGAAATTGGAATTTGGAGTAGCTATTAGTGGCTGCTAAGGAGTTACTGTTGATTTTCTGAGGTACGCCCTTGTGAGAGGTGTCAGCGATACAGACTGCGGTAATCTGGGTGAATCTTACCTGCTGTAAGAGGACCGTAGGTAGGTTCCTGAGAGGGGGAACCTTGGTGATTCGGCTGTTGGGGTTGGATTAGCTGTCACCTTGGACCTTTTCACGTTGTTATAAATGGCTAATAGAAAGCACATTTGCTTAGAGTGGACCACAAAATGATCTCCCCAGCCCTGCATGTCATTTAAAATACTAGTCAGCTTTTTCATAGTATGGGTATTGAGCAGCCCGGAAGCATGCCTGGCTTCCTGCATGTTGTATCGCCTAGTTTCGCCAGTGTCTCTCTACTTTATTTAGCTTTCTAGTCTGGGCTACGTGACACAAAGGAGTAAAAGCAGAAGGCCACAACCCAGCGTCCTTAGCGTCTGATTTTAGCTAGAAGCTACGTAGCGCTGCTTCCTGAGCTTCTCTAATTGTCAGTTGTTTCTGCATTTCTTCACTGAACTTTATAAAGCACACACCAGATACAGTGAGGTCTGAAAATCCTGCTCGTGATCGTGTAGCGTTCTGAAGTCCACCTTAGACCACTCTGTCTAGTGAAGGTGCCAGTTTCCTTCCCAGTCTTACCCGCTGCACTTCACCTCCCTGCCGACGGTGCCTGGCGCGCTGCAGACCTTGAAATATTTGTGCAGTGAGACAGAGCAGTACTGCTTTTTGTGAGCCTCGGTCTTTGGGAAGGGAGTTCACGCTCGGTTCGCACGAGTCGCGGTGTTTCCGGTGCACACTGAGGAGACCGAGGTCTCAGTAGAAACTGGGGTCGGCCACCAGGCCGCCAGTCTATCCCGTCCTCCTCCCTTAGCGCCCGCCAGTGCCAAGCAGGGCGCAGACAGCTGAGTCCTTCCTGCCAGGCCCCTGGAAGGCAGGGCACGTGGGGCAGGCGCAGCGAGGATGTGATGCTCTGCTCTTCTCTGCAGGTCCTGCCGTGCTTACTGCGTCCCTTCTCCGTGCTCCTCTATCACCTTCCACCGGTGACGGTCACAGGCCTCCTGCAGCAGCTGATGAACCTACCTCAGAGTGCAGCCGCGCCAGCGCCCTGCAATCCTCACCTCACCGCTGTGCTCCAGAACAAGGTGCGCTGCCCCTGCCTGTCCGATCCCGGGGCAGCGGTGCTGCTGGGCTGCACTGCCTGGTGACAGAGGCCTCTGTCTCGCTCAGGATCTGATGAGCTCCTGTACCAGTGGTTCCGACACAGCGGGGCCCTCCGTGTCATGTGAGGCAGATAGCGCCTGTCCTCTACGTCAGCTTAGCCATCCGGCTGCCTGCACGGTCCGAGATGGTTGTGGAGTGTTAAGACCCAGGATTGACTCGGGGTGCAGAAGTCAGAAAGTGTGGCCTGGGTGTCTGTCCTCTTCCTTGGGAGCTTTGCGGGAGTTCTCACCAGCTTCTCCGTGCCGGTGCAGGACTGGGTCACGTGAGCCCCAGCAGCCGCAGGCTTAGTTCACCCCGCTGTCTCCACATGTCGAGCCAGTTACGTTAGACAGGCGGCCGGAGGCGCCTGCCAGAGCTGGTAGAACCTCCTGTCAGCATCATCCGCGTCCGGTTAAAGATCCAGAGACCGAGGAAGCATAGTGAGGAGGAGAGCGTGACTGCCGTAGATCTCAGCCCTTCCTGCCCTCTTGCAGTCCGGTCTGGACCTTGCCCTGCTGAGCCAGTTTCCCGCTCTGGCTCTGCCATGTAGTCTCCGCTGACCTAGCACTGTAAGGAGGTGGCTGTGGGTGGCTCGGCTTGGAGTGGGTGCCCCAAGGGCCGCCTGAACCCTGGCACCTTGCAGTCGGCCTGAAGGGCAGCACCGGGAGTGCGGCGCCTGGGGACAGGGCAGCCGTGGAGCCGCCAGCCATGCGGCATCCTCTTCAGTCTGTTTCAAATGCGGCAGAGGCAGGAGAAAACCATGGGGTCAGACAAGATGGTTCTGCCCGGTGCTTTTTACCTGCAGCTAATGTGGCGGGAACCCCCCACCCATTACTGTATAAGAGAAAACCGTGCAGTATTTGACCACCTTTGTCTGATTTCACGTAGCATTATGGTCTCAGAGTGCATCCATTTTCCTACAGATGACTCAGATCTATTCATAATGACTGAGTAGCAAATGCTCCACTGTGTGTAAATACCATCTTTTCCTTATCCATTCATTCACCTGCTGATGGGCATATGGGCCGCTTCCATAATTTAGTTCTTGGGAATTCTGCTGTAGACGCTGAGTGCATAGCTCACTGTAATATGATCGCATTCACTCTCAGGAAGAGACCTAGGGGGAATAACTGGGTCACATGGCATTTCTAGCCTTGCTTTTTTGAGGCGTCTCCATACTGCTTTCCATGGTGGTTGTACTAGTTTACACTCCACCAGCACTGGGAATGTAAAGGGCGCCTCTGTCCTGCAGCCTCAGCTGTATTCGTTGTTTGATGTCTTGGTAGAGTAAGACGGGATCCTGGTGTTCTGATTTGTACATCTCTAATGGCCAGAGGTGCTGAGCACGCGTTCATGCCTTCCGTTGCCCTTCTGAGAAGTGTGTTCATCAGTTGTCCATTTTTTGATTGGGACTTACACTGAGGGAGTGGGTCTAGATGTTTAGTCCCTTCCATATTCTACAGATGGGCCCTCCGTGCAGGAGGGTGGGCTGGCAGACGTGCTCCCCGGGTGTAGGCTGCGTCTGCACTCTGTGCCAGGTCCCTGGTGCAGTGCGGTGCGGTGCAGTGCAGAAGCCTGGCGTGGTGCCTGCTGTTTGCTGGTACTCTTACACACAGCTGCGGTGCTGTCCAGGGAGGCCTGGCCTGCCCCTGCACCTGCAGGACTTTCACCTATGTTATCTTCCAGCAGATTCAGTGTTTCTATTTTACACTTAGGTCTTTGATCCATTTTGATTTTAGTTTAGCACCTGGTGAGATACCGGTCTGGATTCAGTCTTCTCATGTGGAGAGCCAGTTTTCCCAGCACCATTTGCGAGAGAGGCTGACTTCTGTCCAGCATATGTTGGCCCCTGTGTCAGTGAACAGATGCTGAATGTGCCTGGGGTTGTTTCCGCTCCCTCTGTTTTATTCCATCCATCTGCATGTGTGTTTTGGGCCAGAACCATGCTGTTTTTATCACCTCAGATTTGCAGTGTAACTTGAAATCCAGGATTGTGATGCCTGCTCCTTTGCTCTTGTTTGGCATCTTGTCCAAGATGCCTTTGCTACTCTGGGCCTCTTTTAGTTGCATGTAAGTTTTAGGACAGTTTTTTCTTTGAAGAATGCTGTTGGTCTTTTGATTGGGATTGCATTAAATCTGTGTATCATGTTTTGGAACATAGCCGTTTTGACTGTAATGGTTCTCCCCATCCAGGCAAAGGGGACAGCTTTCCATTTTCTGATGTCATCATCAGTCTTTTTTCAGCATTTTATAGTGTTCGTTATACAGGTCTTTTACTTCCTTGATTAGGCATGTAATTTTTTTGAAGCTATTCTGAGTGGAATCATTCTCATTTTTTTCCTCAGAAGATTCACTGTTAGTTATATGGGAGCACCACTGATTTTGTGGCTTTGTCTGTATGTAATGTATTAAGTTTATTAACGTACGCATGTTAAGCCACTCGCCTCCCTGGGTTGAAGCCAGCTTGGTCACGATGAATGACCTTTCCATGATCTGCTCCATTCTGTTTGTCAGTATCTTGTTGACAATTTTTCATATGTATTCATTCAGGGGATTTGTCTGTCGTTTTCTTTTTTGTTAATCCTTGTCCAGTTTTGGTGCCACGGTATCGGTAGCTTCCAGACTGAGTTTGGCGGTGCCCCTTCCCTTTCCGTGTGGGGGACAAGGCTGGGGAGTGTGGGTGCTAAGTCTCCCCTGAACTTCTGGTCGAGTTCTGCAACGAGTGCATGGGCTCTGGGGCTTTCCTTAGTTGATGGGGTTTTATTACCACCTCTTTCTCATTGCCTATTACAGAGGTCTACTCAGGGGTTTTGTGTCTTCATGGTTCAGTTTTGGTAAGTCGTGCATGTAGCAGTTTCTCCATTTCTTCTAGGTTTTCCAATTATTAGAATATAAATTTTCAAAATAGTTTCCTGTAATCCTCTGAATTTTGGCAGTGTCTGTTGTAATTTTACCTTCTTCCTTTCTAATTGCATTGATGCTGATTTTTCTTTCATGAGGGTAATTTGTGGAAAGGTAAGGTTATCCTCAGGAAGGTAAACTCAGAAAGGTGATTGGAATCTCAAAATACTGCCAAAAATGTGATCTCATACATTTAACCTGTTGCTTCTTGTCCCTATTTGTAGTTTCTTTTTTTTTTTTTTGGTAACGGGGATCGAACTCGGGTCTTTGCGCTTGCACAGCAGGCGTCGAAACCACTGAGCTAAATCCCAGGCCCCTAATTGTATTTTCATTCTGTGCCCCTTTAGACTGCTATTACTGCCACTGAATAAAACAAATTTTCATGTACTTCAGTCTGTACATCATGCTGCTGAGTTTTAATGATTGTAGATATGGTATTTGGATGTTTATCCCTCTTTTCTCATTTTATATACTGATCTGATCATTTCCTTTACCTTTCTTGGTATATTTCCTACAGTTCTTAAAATCTTTGTTTTTTTTTTCTTCATTCTAAATATCTTTCTCATTTAATGTTTTTTCCATGAACTTTTTCTTGACTTTCCTTTTTTATCTCTTTGGTTCTTCCGAATAAGAGAAAAGCAGAAACAGCCCACGTCTCTACGGCAGGGCAAGTTCCTGCTTTCCCCTCCGGGAGGGTGGAGAGGGCACTGGGCACCAGGCCGCTTCCTGGCTGCCATCCCGGCTGCTGTGTGAAGGGAACCCTGGAGGGGACCCTGGAGGTGCCTGGGCTGCGGGGAGGAGGCGAGGCATTGAGGCCGCTTCCCTGTCTCCACAGTTCGGCCTCTCGCTGCTCTTCACCCTCCTGAGCCGAGTTGAAGATCTGCAGAGCTCGGAGCCTCTGACAGAGTCCTCGCAGAGTGCCCAGTGGTCAGTATGGCTCCGATCCCCAGCCCTGCAGATCGTCCACGCTCTGGTGTTTCTTCTCACTGTTGCTTTGTTCCCCATCAGGACAGAGGTGATGTTTATGGCCACCCGAGAACTTCTACGGATTCCCCAAGCAGCCTTGGCCAAGCCCGTCTCTATACCCACAAACCTAGTGTCCCTTTTTTCTCGCTACGTTGACCAGCAGAAACTGAACTTGCTGGAGACAAAGCTGCAGTAAGTTCGGTCCAGGAGAGAGTTCTGTGCTAGAAGTGTGGCGGGGGTGGGGAAAGCTGAATGTGGAGAAGGAGCAGAGGCTCACCACGTGTTTGGTAGGAGCACTGCACTGGGAGTCTGTGCCCACCAGAAGCCATGCAGGGCTGGCAGAGGCCCCGGGGTGTCTTGTTACCGGACTTCTTCCGGTGTGTGACATAGATGGAGAAGACTGTCTTCTGTCTCAGCTTACTCTGTCTGTCTCTGCCCTCAGGCTGGTTCAGGGGATCCGATGAGGCCTCTGGCTGTTTCCCTACCTCCTGTGGCTGCCGCCTGCACTGCACTGCTCCATGCTGCCTGCACTGCTCCATGCCGTCGCACGCACACCGAGGGAGTGTCGTTGCAAAGGGGGCTGGCAGCCTGTCCCCAAGCCCACATGCCGTGTGGGGTCGCATCCCAAGGCAGGGGCCTCCCTGCTGCTCCAGGATGTGTGGTGTGGCCGGGTGATTCTCCTGCGGGTCTCCTCTTCACCCTCTGTGTTGCATTTCTGCATGTCCTTCACTCAGTTCCTCCCAATTCTGCATTTTCTTTGCCCTAGAGCCACAAAGATAGTTATCTCCCTTTATTCCACCACACTACTGCAGTTCAAAGTAGATCGCAGCCTGCCAAAGGAGTCCTTCCTCATCCCCATCCTCATCCTCATCCTGCTGAAGATTTCATTGTCCCGTATGAACTTGGCTTTCGAGGGCTGATGAATCACACGCCCCCCTGGGTGTGCACTGACTTGGCTTCCCAGGGGGCCCTTAAAGAAGGAGTCTGAGGTTGAGAAATTCCCAGTTGACACATACCTCCTGCACACAGACCAGCAGACATGCCCTTGCCCTGTGCCCTCCGCCGAGTCGTCTTTGTGGCGGTGGCGGTGGGTCCTCCTCGTTTTAAGCGTAAATACAGGGTACGCAGCACTTTGGATGAAATCCGAATTCTTACCTGGCCGCTTGGGCTCTGGGCTGAGAGGGCGGCTCTTCCCCCCCCCCCGCCCCCCTCCTTCGGTCCCAAGCGCACGGGTCGGTGGGGACACCCCGGGGTCCACCCCCGGCGAGCTCCTCTGGACGCTGGAGAGTGCGCCTCTCCCCTTTCCTTCTCCCCCTCCCCACGGGGACTTCGGGCCCTGCTCCCCTGCTGGGCCCGCACACGTGCCCGGCACCGCCCTAACCCTAACCCCAGGCAGCTGAGTGACCTCGACCTGGAGCGTCGCTCCCCCCACCTTGTGCAGCAGCCCGTGCTGGGATGGGATCGGATCCTGCCGGCTGCCGCCCGAGGAGAAACTGAAACCCGCATTGCCTTCCCGCCCCCACTCTTGCTGCCCTGCCCTTTGCGAATGTAGTTCGTCAGGCCGAGGCGCTTCTGTTCCAGCGTCTCCGAGTGGCCGGTTGGCATCCGGTGTGCACAGCGGGAGCCCTACGCCGCTGGTCGCTCTCCGGGTCGCTGTCCGGGTCTGCCCTCGCCCACCCCGCGTCCCCGCCCGACGTCATCTACTGACCCCACCCCGGCCTCCCTCAGCCGATCAAGTGAACACTTGATGGTTATTTTCCTTACTGTACTTTATCTTGTTTGGTTTAATTAATGAAAATAAAGGTTTCTAAATTTACATTTTTATAGGGTATTGTAAATAAAAACAAATTGTATACTTGAAGCCAGAGCCTGTTGATGTTCCTGTTATTCCTGAGCTGGCCTTTAATGTGGCCCGGGCGTGGTCGAATGCTCCAGCAAAGCTCCTGATGCTGGGGACGGTAAGGATATAGCTGCCTGATGCTTTGCTTTATTTGAGGTATGTTTCAGACTCATTTTAAATGCTCACTGTCAAAGATTAGGCAAACAAGTAGACAGAAAACTGGTACAGGAGCTCCTGTAACGTGGGGTACTGTTTGCACAATGCTTGTTTTCCTGATGGAAAGTCCTGAGGTGAGGAGACCAGCAGGGACCCCACCAGGCGACTGCTAAGGAGTAAGAAAAGTATCCTGTAGTAAAAGGCTCACAGCCTGCACGGTGGCGTACACATGTGATCCTAGCACTCAGGAGGCTGAGGCAGAAGGATTGCAAGTTCAAGTGCAGTCCTGACACCTTAGTAAGACGGCTCCAAAAGAAGGGCTGGAGATGTAGCTCAGTGTGAAGTTCCTGGGTTCCGAAAACTTGAGTACTTCACCATGAATGTGACCACAGTTCACGTGACACTCACTAGCATTGTGCAGTATGTACTAGCTCTTGTTCTAGGTGCTTTAAAATCATTTCTTAAAGACCTGGTAACAAAGGCAATATTAATTTCCCCACTAAATAAATGTATGTCAAAAGTAATCACATTGAGTTGTCTAAAATAACTTGACAGCAGTTGGCTTAGTTAGGAACTGACATCAAGGTATGCAGTGTCCTTAGGTAAGGAGACCCTGGCAAGTGGCAGGTGACAGTGAACCTCAGAGGTCTTGGAAGACGTAAGATGTGTGTACAGGTCACAAGTGCAATCTAAGTGAATATTCACTCCAGCCTCGTCATTTTTTTAGCTTATAAAATTATTTTAAAACAATGCTAATAAGAATTTGGGGCTGCCACTCACTGATAAGAATACATTACTCTTCTGGAAAGTTCTTTGGCAATGTAAAGAACTTTCCATGGCCTTTGGCTTTTGAAATCTAAGGAAACGACCAAGCAAAGACACTTATGGCAGCCAGGCAGGTGTGGCACGCCTAGAATCCCAGCTACTCGGGAGGCTGAGGCAGGAGGGCTGCAGGTTCAAGGCCTGCCTTGTCATTTAGCAAGATCCTGTTTTTTAAAGGAACTTACTGCAGCTTTGTAATAGAAAAGCTAGACATAATGTGAATGTACAACATCACAGTAAATGCTCATCTCTGTGGCATGGATAACTAGAATGTTTTGGTTTTTTTGGGTTTTTTTGGTACCAGGGATTGAACTCGGGTCCTTGCACTTGCGCAGCAGGCGGTGAAACCACTGAGCTAAATCCCCGGCCCCTAGAATTTTGTTTAATCATGGTGTGAGAAGCGTATCTATATGCTTTGAATCCATTTTTTACAAGAAAAATAGTTGTGTGGTGAGGAAAGGATTATTGGAAGACACGCTCTTAAAAGTTACTGCTGTCTTGCTCTGGGGGCCGGGATTTGGGGGAATATGCTTTTGCTTTTCAGTAACTTTCAGGTTTTCCACTGAGAAAATACATTGCTTATGTTCTTAGAAAAATATTCTTGAAAAATATTGTTGAAGAGTGTAGTTACATGGGGAAGTACTAAGAATATGTTAAGTAAAAAAAGATTCTATACGTGTGCCTGCCAATCGAGGAGGAAAAACAGGAAAAGAATTGAGGGTGACCAGACTGCGGGAGCGGCCTTCCTTCGCAGGAGGCCTTGGGTTGCATCCAGGTCCTTGCCCCTCCTGTCCATATTTCCGAATTTGTGCTCACTGGAGCATGTGTTCCAACCATAAGAGGCGGTTATGCTCTAAAACTGCTACAAATAGCATCCCTCTATTTCCAGGCAGAAAACCTGCTCTGGGTCAGATGCGCTGGACTTGACAGCTTGGTGTGGTGCTGACGGTGCTGGTCAGCCCTGGGCGGCACTTCTGCTGAGGCTGCTGTCTTCATCACCATCCAGCGCACACAAGTCTGAGCCCTGGCTCCCACCCAGGAAGCGTCCACGGTGACGCTTACTGCATTTTTCTAAACCACTGCATCACCCAAGTTCCTCTGGTAAAAATCGGGATGTCCAAGACCCAAGTTCTGAATTCTGCTCTGGGGCTTGGTGAGGTCCATTGTGCTCGAGGCAGAAGCAGGACGGCGGAAGGGCATTGAGTAGATTAATACTGTGATCCCTAAGAAGTCAGCACGTTACAGTCTTTAATCTGAGGGTTCAGTGTCAAATCACCTGTAGCGGTGTTGCGTCACCTTGCAGAAGAGGCACAGCTGTGACAGACTGTGCCTGCTCGGCTCCATTTAGCAAACCAAGGCTGTGCTGAGGGCCTTGTTCACCACTTAGCACGACTCTCCAGCCCCCATGGAGCATGTTCATTCTCCAAAGCAGCATCAGCCAAGATCTGGAAAATAGGAAGGAGCTAGGAAACCACTGATGTGTGCACCTTGCCAGTGGTGAATATAAACTCTCTTACACTAACCAGCCTAAAGAATGAGAAATCTGCATGGGACCAAGGGAAATCACCTCAAGTTCCACCCTGAGGAAAAGCACTGCTGATAGTTTAGTTTGTCGTCCTCCAAGTGGCTGTCCTGTGCAGAGGCACCCGAGGGTAGCATTACACATCGGTCCCCAATACATCATGGATCTACACATCAGTATATAGATAGAGAGCAGCCCTGTCCTTTTTGGGGTTCCACAGGAGCCACAGGGTGCCACTGTGCCATAACTTACTTAAACTGCTCCCCAGATAATGGGGTCCAAACTTCAGTCAGCGTTCATCCAACAGGAAACACAGGTAAACTTGCAGAGCTGTGCACCAGGAACATTTCCTCCACCCATAGATCCTCTCTATAACCTGAACTAGGACAGCGCCTATAATTGTAGCCCCAAAACCGATCAGCCGACCACTCAGCTGCTGAGGCCAGAATTGGTCTCTATGCCTTGGCCTTCCAGCTCCGTGTCTCCTGTCAGGGTTAGAAGCCTCCTGTTCCCTGACCCGGGCTTCTGGTCGGAGCAGCTGAGAAAGCTTCACACCCGTAAAGGCCACATCTGCAACCTCTTCTGATTGGCTTTTAATTTCTTCACTTTTGGCAGGCGAATTAAGCAGTTGCCTGTCGGGAATGTTGGAAAGGGGCAGTTCCGGTTAATTACAGGACTGATTGCAACACAGGACGATCAGAATCATTAGTGCAGCGGGCAGCATCTGTATGGCTCTTTCGTTTAAATGTTTCCAAAGAAGAAACAGCTCCTTCCTTCCACTCTTCCTCCTTCCCACCATGGCTCTTTGATGTTACTTTGTTTTTATGATACAAGGGTTGAGGGCCTTGTGAATGAATACTGAGCGAGGACTCTAGGGCTGGGTTACACCCCTGGCCATTTTTATTTTATTTTGAGACAGGATCTTGCTGGGCTGGGGATTTAGCTCAGTGGTTCCGCCCCCTCCTCGAAAGTGCAAGGTCCTGAGTTCAATCCTGGTACCAAGAAAGAAAAGAGACAAGATCTTGCTGAGTTGCCCAAGGTGATCTCGAACTTGCAATCCTCTTGCTTCAGCCTCCCAAGTAACTGGGATTACAAGAGGTGCACCACCATGCCAGCATCCACTGTTCTGAAATGCATTTTTCATATTAAATATATTCAGTCACAGGGGATGCATTCTCTCATTAATTCACTGTACTGATATGTGAGCCCCCAAATTCAGAAGCTGTCTCGCCACAGCTGTTCCCCAAAACCCAGCACAGGGTCGACACCCAGAAGGAAACTGACAAACAGCTGGTGATGAAATAGTTACACTATAAGAAACAGAGGTTCAGCGGGTTGTGGTAGTGCGTGCCCATAACCCCACTGTTCTGCCGGGCTCAGGTAGGAGGTCACAAGACTGAATGCAGCCTGGGCTCTGCAGTAAGTGTGAGGCCAGCCTAGAACAGAGAGACCCTGGCTCAAAAAACAAAAAGCAAAAGCCTAGCGGGGTTATCGGAGACCCGACCTTGATTCAGCCAAAGCCTGTTTGTTTCCCAAGGCCCATCTCAAAATACAGTGCCACATATTTTATCACAGCCACGGGGCAGGAACAGTTTGGTGACTAAGTCAGAGGGGTGCTGTGGCCCAGGTTACACTGGGAGGGGCAGCCACAGACCCAAACTGACGCTGTCCTGCTCGAGTGCTGAGCACAGACTCGGCAGGCTGAGAGCTCTGTGGCCTGGACCTCGAGGCGGCTGCCTGAGTGTTCAGGACAGAGAGGCCGCTGAGGGCCCCAAAGTCACTGTCGCCGCTATGGAGGGGCCGGAGTGGCCACCCAGCCCCAGGAGGGATTTATCCTCACCACAAACCCAACCCCGATTCCCACCCTTAGAAATCACTGTGCTGAGTGGAGGCAGAAATCGTCTTTTCCGTGGCTCCAATAAAATAGCAGAGGCCAGGCAATTGCTAAAGAAGTTACTTTGGTGCCCAGCTCTGGACTCCCAGGGCAAGGCCAGGTGCTCCCCCAAGCCTGACGGGAAGCGTTCGAGCAGGCGTGTGCAGAAGAGGCCGGAGCATGGGCCAGGGATGTAGCTCAGTGGCCTGCACCTGCCTTGGCAGCACCGGGTCCTGAGTTCGATTGCCGGTACTGGAAAAAGGAAAAACGAGAGGCCAGAGGAGCTGACCTATCTTCTACCAGCACGCTCTTGGGATAACTAACCCACTTTCGGGAGGCTTCATTAATTCTTTCATGAGGGTGGAGGCCCCACAGCCTAATTACATCTTAAACTCTCTCAGCACCATTCCTCGGCTACCAGGGCAGGGACCAGCCACACTCCCAAGGCAGGGCCCCATCGGAACCCGCAGCCAGGCCCGGAAACGCAAGGTGGTGGAGGGAATCCTTTAGCTGAAGGGAGAGAGCATAGCCGTTCTCTGCAGCGTTCAGAGAGGTGAGCTTGGGGGCGCATGGAGGAAACTGGTCACACTCTTCTGGGCTGAGAGGTGGCTCGCGCGCTTTCCGCTGATCTCTGTAACTTCCGGGGAC